AAAGACTACAAGCTCTATGGAGAAAAATGTATCCAATATCTGTGTGCTATGGGATGAGAGGGTTGTTGAAACAGTGGAAGAATGGTGCAGGCCATGGACATTACTGGAGATTTTGCTTCTTGTCTCTATTACAGACCAAGTGCAGGCTCTACGCACCATCAGCTCCAAGCAGTTGGTTGTCCAATAATTTTTTTTTAAAGCTTCATTCATCAAAATATATAGCTGAGTAATTGGATAAACATGATAGATTAAAACCTTCATCACGGGGTTTTTCTTTTAAGCCAATGTGTATGTTTGAAAAGAAAAATGTGAGTAGCGAAGAGTTCATGAGAGGAACTCGAAGTTGACACAAAGATCGCAGTTAGTCAAATAAAAATTGTTGACTGCTGATGCTCATCACTTACAGAGCTTAAGCTTTTTGAAATACAATGATACAAGAGATTTTGGGTAAGGTTTTGTCGCAAGGCATGTCGGGATATTCTCAGGTTGTTCAATCCACAGCTTGTGAGCAATGCCATCGGTTTTTAGCTTATCCGATAAATTTAGTATCTGAGCTTCGCCTTTTACTTCAAGAGTCACCTGCATTTGGTAAATTTGCCAAGAGAGACTCATAAGCTCATAGCTCCAGAAAACCAACAGCTTTACATTCAGTTGAGCCAAAAACCCAAGAACAGGACAACTGATGAGCACCATGCATCTTCCAAAATACTATGTTCCAATTTATCATGACTTTTACATTTATTTTCACAAAGTAATACTACCTTGGACAAAATCACAGGTGCTTTAGAGTCAAAATGATATAAATGCCCCATTTTTGTATTTCAATAATGTCTCAGTAATTTCGGCCAGACAAGTGATTCAATCCATCAAAATCATTATCCCAAGAAATTCAAATATCCCAAGAGGATGAAAAGAAACCAATTTCTAAGTGCACAGTTATCAATATTTACTTGTCAATTTCGCCACTTATTACTATAGGCTATCAAAGCTGAACAAATCAGGATTTACATGGAAAGGGAGATTTGTCGAATTTCATTTTAGTACTTAGTCAAATCTCAAAATCCCCATTGATAACACGAAAAGAAAAAAAGTGGATAGAAATTACTGGCCTTGTGCATAGAATCTAGATTTGACGGGGAGCAGTAGCGGAGGGTGTCGGGATCGTCCTTATTGGTCCAGATGGCGGCGACTGAGGCATGGCAGCCCTGGGTTACCAAGCTCCCCAGCGGCCACGAGTCGATTAGGTCTCGCCGCAGCACCACGTACTGCATTAGTGTGTCGGTCGCCGAACTGTCCGTGCCTTGAGCGGCGGCAGACGATTGCATTCTCGATCGGATGCGCGGAAGGATAGGACAGGCTGTGATGGCTCGAGTCTGGAGGTGGGGCTTAATCAGCGGGCACCGCGGCACGAGTGTAATAGTAGCCATACGAGGGTCTTTGGAATAAAAAGGTTACAAGGATTGGACCATCCGCAAAATACGAGACACTAAACTTAAAAATGTATATTTAACAAGCGGAACAGGACTGTAGAATCTCCCAATTAACAAAGAGAAAATTACAAATTTAGTTCCAAAACTTTTGTTGTTTCCCACATTTGGTCCCAGGCACGCCAATTATGGTCTTTCATGAATTTTCGTTGCCAAAATGGTCCCACTCCGTCAAGACTTAACGGTCAACGTTTATAGCCTGGGACCAAATGTGGGAAACAACAAAAGTTTTGGGACCAAATTTGCAATTTTCTCAAAGAGTAAGTGATAAAAATTATTTAAATTTATTTTTATTAGAAACATTTTTTTTTAAAATTTTTTTAGTAAATGTTAAAAAGGTATATTACCATTATTTCCTAACAATACATTTAGTTTATTTTTTAATAAATTATAAAAGATAAATATAACTAACATACAATTCTTTCACATTTTTTTTAACTTAAATTAAAGTTTAACTTGATTTTTTACATAAAATAATATTTAATTGTGTAACTTAACAAAAGGTGTATAAAATAATTTTATTAATTAGTTCACGATAAATGAGATGCAAAAAAAAATATATGATATATTTTACTATAGATAAGTGTGAGCAAATGTCTATTTTCACTTAATTTAATGTCAAATTTTGTTTTATTATGCTTAAAATTGAAATTTTTTATGTAGATGTAATTTGCATAAATAAATAGATTTTTCAATTTATAGTTGTCAAAATCAAATTGATAAATAAAAAATTATTAAAATGAAAATAGACAGTAATAAAAAAAATTGTTTAGATTGGTTTTTTTTTAATTCGTATTATTTAATAAAGTTTGTAAGGATATATATAAATTATCACATTATACTAATATTTAAAAGTGTAGACGGATTAGTATTATTGTAAGCATATTTACATTTTTTCTTATTTTGATAATTTGGATTATGTCTTTTGGTTTGCTTTATTTAATTAAAATAATATTATTTCTAAATATTCTTTAATTTAAATAATATTCAAATAATTGCTAATATTTTTTAAGTAATGACGGTAAAAATTAAAAAATAAAATAAATACCACACAATTAGCAATTATATCGTTTACTTTTCCACCCAAAATTAAAATTTATCAACGCCTTTACTTTTCCACCCGATACTTATTTTTATAAAATTATTTTTAATATTTATTTCTCGCATAATATTCATAGTAAATTAATTTTATTATGTCATTTCGGCTTTGAGTGAATGAGAGAAACTTGAGAACTTGAACAGCTCATTTTTTTTTTTTNGTTTTCTATTCCCAGACCAACCTTTATTTTTTCTCAATGCAAAAATACGCAATTCGGGTCTCAAATAGGCCAGCCTATAATCAATCCAAAAGGCAAGATTTTGAGAAGTGTACCACCAAAGCAACATTACTTTGCTTGATTCAATTAATTCAAAGCACACAGAGACAAAGAGTAATGCGAATAATAGAGCAGATGCACAAAAGTTGCTAACCCAATATTGCAAGTCGAGCATTTCACAGAAAATTAAATGTATCAAAATCCTGAAGAGAGATCACCGCATTCCAAAAACAAAAAAGTTCCAATATGTCCATTCCCCTAAACATTTAGCAATGACAATCTGAAAATCAACACGACCAACTTTCAGGTCCCTAAAACACGAATATAACGGTCATCCATTAAAAGCAAACTGCAAGCAGAAAACACAAGTGATCTTCACTTAATTGTCATGATCATCTTCTGGAGCCTCGTTCTCACGATCTTCCACCTTGTTTTCTTCATCTTCATCTTCCTTCTGATCACCAGACAGTGGAGTGGCAGAGGCCGAGCTGGCGCCAAGCTTCTCTTGTTCACGCATCTCGTGAGCAATAAGCAGCCTTCGCCTTTTGTTGATTGGGTGCTCTTTCTTGCCCAGCTCCATCGGATCATTCACACCCAACTCTGTCAAACTGCCAAACGATTTTGCTTTTCCACTGTAATGACCAGAAAGTCCCTTCCTGTAATTAAAAGCCAACTCTGTCAAACTGTCCAAATAATAAAAGAAAGACTCGTGATTATTTGTGCCAAAATTTAAAGATCAACTTCACAATGACACTAGAAAAATACTGAAATATAATAAACTCATTAGAGGCACAAACATATAGTTTCACGGCAATTATTAATGAGAAGCAGACACTAACAGAATTTAAAATAAATGCTAAAAGAAGAACAGATGGCATGTACATCAATCGTTACCTGTCAAACCAATTCAAATTATCAATCGACATGCTAATAAGAAACAAGAAAAAGAAAATGAATATTAAGAAGAATATAATTTTCTCAAAAAATAAATAAGAAAATGAAGTAAATCAGTCACTCACGATTAACCTCATCATCGTCGCTTTATTATCCAAAATGTAATTAAACTCCACAGACAATCGTAATAAGAAGCAAAAGCAGCATTATACACAGGAAAATGAACAAATTACGACAAAAACACACCCGGTAATCAACGATTAACATGCAAAATATCTACTATTAAAAGAGAGGAAAACTCAGCGCGTCAAACCACGATCGATCACATATAATACAAACAAAAAATCATCAGCAACACTGAACAAATAATAATTCCTCAGATTAAAGAAACAGAGCGCAAGCAAGAAGATGAATGAAGCGATTCAATTTTTTGTAGTGGAAAATTGAAAAAAGAAGAGAAAGAAAATCCTGACTTGACGGGCAGAGCATCTTCAAGCGAGGAGAGTGAATCCAGTGAGGTACGGCGCACCTGAACCCGATCCTCCCTCTCCTCCTCCTCATCTTCACTCGAAATCAAGAAATCATCATCAACCTCCGTCGCAATTCCCTTCCTCTTCCTGTCTCCGCCGCCGTCGCCTCTTCCTCCTCCTCCGCCGCCGCCGCCGTGCATTCCGTCACCTCCTGGCTGCTTAGACATACTCAGATAACGCAGTAGTTCAGATTGCTCGCTCTCGCTCTCTCTCTCTCTCTCTCTTTCTAAACTTGCTTGCTACTAATCTCTCTCTCTCTCTCTGTGTATTTTTGTGATTTGATTTTGTGATGGCGGAAGAATGTTTGAAGAAGAGTGGGGTGCTATTTATCGACGGGAGTGGCGCATGATAGCAAGGAGGTTTGGGGAGCTGCGCAGGATAATAACGGTGAGGGGGACCCAACGGAATGTTGTTATTTTGAGTGTGAGCGAGAGTCTATATTTTTCCTTTAAATAAATAAATTGAAAATGAAAAATGTTCACAGAGATAGCTAGGGGGATGGAGAGACGGAGAAGGAAACGGTTTGACACGTGGAATGTTGAATCTGTAAGTATGTTATGTGAATATTTTGGTCAGGCCAAGAAAACAATTTTTTTTTTTTTTTATTCTTGTGACATTTTTCTTTGGCAGACTTAACTCAATTCCTTGCAAGACAATCTTTGTTGTGAGGTAGGTTGATGTCATCTAAGATGAGCTGATGTCCGTTTACTTGTTTCTCAAGCAGTGGTAGAGCAATCATGTTTCGGTTTACTATAAACATGTTATGTATGTGTAGGACCGGTCCTTCAGCTCTTTCACTTGTTTTTGGATGCTTAACCGAGAACCGCGACCGATTATAATTTAAAAATAACCAAACTAGGAAAGTTGTTATATTATAATAACCGAACCGAACTGCCAAATTTCGTCTCGGTTCAAATCAGTTTTTTTAAAATCTCAGCCCTATCGTTTCCCTCTCTGACATCTGTCGGTCATGTTCGAGAATTGGATAAAATTAAGTCTCCCCAAACTGATGGCGTTTCTATTCGAGTCGCCCGACTCCTCGATTTTCCGCTGCTGGAGAACCTCCGCAGCTTCGCCAAGTTCTTCGTTGTCGCAAGCTCTGAGATCGATTTCTAACGGTCGATAGTGGAGATGGTGGACAGGCGGACGGGGGACTACAGATATATGTGGATCGTCTTCGTGCGAGGAAGATGAAATTAAAACTTAGAAAATTTGAATTTTGGTGTGATTATGTTGGTGAAAATCTCCGAAACAGTGCGTGCACGTGTGTGAGCGATATGTAAAACTTGCAGAGACGATGAATAAAACGGTGAGAGAAAAGATTTTTTTTTTGTTGCGTTATTTTATATAGTATTTTCCTAATTATTTAGCTAATCATCAGTATATAATATATATACAAATAAGTTTTCAAGTCTGAATGTGTAAATATGTATGAAGAAACAAAGTACATATGTAAAAGAGTGCTTTTTTTNGATTTTTTTTTTTTGGTAGCCAGCCACAGTATCCGGAGCTTTGCCCTGACTAATCCGTTGGTCGACCTGAGTCGCACACCTGGCAGTGGTGGGTGAGTCTCCCAACAAGGATTTTCTGCATTCCAAGGACTCGAACCCGAGACTTTGCTTAAGGGACATCAAGCTGCTTACCACTTAAGCCAACCCTTGTTGATCAAAAGAGCTTATTTTTTAACCCAACGTTAATCTTTATTCCAGTAAAACAAATGAGTTTGACGATTATCAAACTCCACCATCAAATTGTTTTTTGGTCAAACGTTAATATTTTATAAAATCAAAATATAAATACAATCGAGATGTGAACTGAAACAACTTCCCCTTTAAATTACACAAGGAGACTTGAGAACAAAAACAGACCACTCCCAACACAAGAGACTAACTACTCTAATTATGAAGACGATCACCCAAACACAACTAGAACTAACAACCAATAACAACAAAGTTAAAAACAAAAA